AAAAAAGGGGAAAAAGGGGAAAAAGGGGAAAAAAGGGGAAAAAGGGGGAAAAGGGGAAAAAAGGGGAAAAAGGGGGAAAAAGGGGGAAAAAGGGGAAAAAGGGGAAAAAGGGGAAAAAGGGGAAAAAGGGGAAAAAGGGGAAAAAGGGGAAAAAAAGGGAAAAGGGAAAAAAGGGAAAAGGGAAAAGGGAAAGGGAAAAGATCAGCTATTAGGGAGCCATCAACCCATATCTCTCAGGAAGCAGGCTTCCTGGAAGGAAATCAGACTTTAGCAAAAGACACTAGGTACCAAATAGAGCTGATCTGATGCCAGCCTCTCTTTCCTAGGGTCACAGAGTGATCTTTCCTTGGCACCTATAGTCTCATCTGCTTCCTTTTAGCCCGATCTACACTGGTGATGGCTCCACTGGTCGCTGCTGTATCCAGTCCACGTGCCCGGCTCTTTGCTTGTTTCCTTAGGCTGGGCACTCAGCAGGCTGGACCCCTCCAATTGCACACAGGAGCCTGCTGCACAGCCAAGAACCACTATGAGGTGCTGGTACTCGGTGGGGGAAGTGGGGGGATCACCATGGCCACTCGCATGAAGAGGAGAGTTGGAGCGGAGAATGTGGCCGTTGTTGAACCCAGCGATGTAAGTGTCCCTTGGCTTGCGTGAGAGCATGTATGTGTTAGGCTGTGTGGGCACAAGGTTTTTATGTCTTGTGTTTAATGCTTTTCATGGGCATAAAAAAGAGGAGGTGGCAAGGATCTGGGAGGAGTTTGGGGAAAGAGTATGATGAAAATATATTGCATGAAAATTTCTTTAAAAATAATAATTTAAAAAAGTACTGGGGGAGAATGGAGTGGTCCCAGAGCTTTAAGCTTTTTGTGTCTTGTATTTATAGCTCATTAGGGATGCACACAAGTTACTACAGCATAAGTAGCTTAAAACAACAAACACATATTCCCTCTCAGTTTTTTGAGGCTACCAGTCCCAAACTACTGAAAGAGTCAAGCTCCTACTGAAGGTTGGTTGTAAAAGAGTGAAGGGTTTGCTCCGCCTCCCTCCTAGGCTCTAGTAAAGATTGCTCTGAGCAATCCTTGTCAACCCAGGTTAGAAACATCATCCGCATTCATGGTCCTTGTCTTTGAATGGCACCCTCTAGGTGTCTCTGTGTTGTGGAAATTTTCACCTTAGGTGGGGGGGACTGTGGTTAGGAAAAGTGTGCCCCATCTCTATGAAGTCCCAGCAATAGACTGAAGTTTGACTGCAGAAACCAGTGAGTTTAATACGGTTACTAACAGATCACTGGGGAGGGACTTTGAGGAGAAGCATAGGCAATCCTGAAGCAGCTTGACTGGAAGGTCTGCATGGATGAGGATTCCCTGTGTATTACAGAGCTCTCTCTAGTCCTTACACATCTGTGTACTCTAACCCCTCCCCGAGATCCCCATGGCCATGTGGAGTTAGGGCAGAGTCTTGTACAGCTATTTGGGTGGAGTGGCAGATGCTGTATCATAGCTGACCTACAGTGGGTCTCCAACTGGTGCTTTTCTCGCATGTGCATTGCTCTTCTGGGAACAGATCAATTATTTCTTTCCTTCAGATTGTCACCAGGCCTGACCCTGCTTAGTTTTCAAGACTAGACAAGATCAGGCACCTTTGGGGTGGTATGGCTGTAGGCTGGGCAATCTTCTCTGTCCTGTCCTACAAGGAAGCCCCCATGGGACCTTTCTTGCAGGAACTGGTTATGTTAAGGCTGTGGGTCCCTGCTATGGTTGCCTGATGGCTGGAGATGTTTGTAGACCAAAGAAATTGTTGTTTTGATTTCATTTTCTGTTCAAGATGGACTCAGACTTGATGAGCTCTCATAGCTAGAGGCCTCTGCCCTCCTCTTTCAGGATCACAGCCATTATTGACCTTAGGAAGATTACAGACTATTTTTGTGTCTTCTTTACTACCCTCTGAGTTCTAGGCTGCTCTGGCTAGCCAACCTAGCCAAATGCCAGAAACTTTTTGGCAATATGGGGAGTTTTGATTTCTTGGTCCACCCAGTGAGTGAATTCTCACAAGCCATTAAATTTAACTACCCTTTGTTCTGAGCCCAGAACAATTAATCACAATTAACGTAGACTGGGGCAGTGATCAGGATGTAAAGTGAATAAATAAATAAATTAATGAAAAAATGACTACCTGAAGCAAGATCACTGTAGAAGAAGATCATGAGAATTTGTGTTTTGTCCTATTGGCTTTGGGTGTAGAACTTCTGAGAAAGAAAGGACAGATGGACCAAAAGCATCTGCAGTCCTTTGTGGGATCATAGTTTGAAGATAATGAAGTTTTGATAACCCCTAGAAATGCCAGTGAGCTTCCAGACTTTCCATAATCTTCACATTCTTTCAAGGAACCACATGTTGCTTTTAGATTTAATTTTCCTCACTATCTATACACATAAATTATACACATAAGTATATACTCTATCTATATTGCATATATGTAACAATACATTTTGTTTTGTTGATCTTGGAATTATTCTTGGTTGGTGACAATCTCCTAGAATTAATGCAGTAGAAGGCACAAGAGTGGGGGATTAACCATCTGCTGACTTTTCCATGCAGTGCTCTAAGGGTCAGGAGGGAGTGATTAGAGTCTAGTTGGAAGAACTTCAACTAAGATGCTTTGGATAAGGCTCAAATATAAACAACTTCTAATATTTTGTTTCTCAGAGGCATTTCTACCAGCCAATCTGGACACTAGTGGGTGCTGGTGCCAAAGAGTTGTCCTTATCGGACCGTTCTACAATGAGTGTTATTCCATCCGGTGTGCAGTGGATTCAAGATAGAGTGGCGGAGCTGAACCCAGACAAGAACTGTATCCGCACAGAAAAGGGCAAGGAGGTAACTGTCGGGGCTGCTGGCCTTTCTTGTTGTCTGGGGGCGGCATAGCCATTTCCAAGCTGCACACCTCTGGGATGGAAGATGGCACAGATGCCCGTGTTTGTGTTTACAGCTCTGTGTTAAAAGCTGCATGATATGACAGTGCATAGTATATGGAATAGGTAGGATTGAATGGTTTTGAACATTCACTGTGTGATACAGTGGGCCTCGTTGATTAGTACAGCGTCTTGAGACTGCATTTTTGTTGAACAAATGCTATTTCTATGTATTGAAATAGCAGCTGTGTTTTTCTGACATCTGGCTTTCCATAGGAGTTGAGTATTGGGAAATATCTACCCCAGTCACAGTCCAGGCATCCTTCCAGTTATGTAACTAAGGTTTGTCTCAGCACTTAAGGGGAAACGATGCTGTTGGAGGTGAGATTTAGACTGTGCTTGGCACTAGTTAGAGGTTACCTAGACCCATAGGATTGTCAATAGCTGTTTACACCATATGTGATGGATCTGTTGAAGTACAATGGTGAGACCACAGGCTCAGTATCAAGCTGCAGTTTCATGTTTTCTATCTGCTGCTGAGCCCAGAAATGCAGCTGCCAGTCAGTTCTTCAGGGAACTCATCCTTGCCACAGGCCCCTTCTAGAGCTCTCTCAGTGCAGAGCCCTTGACGCTTTATGGCAAAACATGTTGTACAGAAGCCATACCTTCCCTCATGTCACAGGTCACCCCTGGAGGATGAAGGTTCCATTTTCTTCTTGCAGTTCTAGAACTAGCGAGGACCTCAGCTATGCTTGTTGAATCTACACTTTCACTTCCTTGTGAAAAATAGACTTTTATCCAAGTAAACAGATAATAAAATCCATCCTGATCTGTACTCTGTGCCATCCAGAGAGTCGATAGGTTGACTGTCTTGGTTCTGTAGGGAAGCCAACCACTAACGGGCACAGAAAGTGATAGAAGGCATGGGATCTGTGGTGATGTCCTAAAGGGAAAACACAGGCACACTATAATGGAAAGAGTCTTTGCTCTACACATAACCTTGGTGGTTTTACCAAAGTGTAATATCGATTATTTGTAAGGACTGGGCATTGACAAGCTTATGGGAGAGAGGTCATTAAGAAAGAATAAAGCCCAGTTAGAAAGAACACAACCACAACAAAAACAACAACCAAACCAAACCAAACCAAACCAAACCAAAACACCCCCCCAAAACAAAACAAAACAAAACAAAACAAAACAAAACAAACCAAAACAAAACAAAGGCTCAAGCCTTTTGAACAAACTTCCAAGTCTGCTGACCCAAACTCCAAGGAAAAGCAAAGCTTGTAGACATGACTTTTGAGCAATTCCAGAGAACAACAGAGACCTTGCCAAAAGGCCTAATATGGACAAGTATTCTCATTGCATACACGAGGTGGAGGTGGGGACAGGGAGAGGGATTCTGACACTAAGAACCTAGTAAATCAGCAGCTAAACCCTTGCAAAACTCCAGGCACACAAAGTAATAACTGTCACATAGTAATTTAGAAATAGAAGGGTGACAACAAAAGGTTCAAAGATGGCAGACAAACCCGCCCTCAGCCAGCGACTAAGCTATACTGGCTCATACTGAACACACAGACCATATTTCCCTGTTTAAATGTTCTTTAGAAAACAGTAACAATACTTCCTGAGCTTTCACCTGTGCAAAACACCACTCTAAGTGCTTTACAGGTTTCTGCTCATTGAGTGCTCAAAGCAGCTCACCAAGGTAGATACCGTTTCCATTTCACAAATTAAGAAACTGAGACATGGCTTTCCTACAAGAGTTTACTACACATTTCTATGTCCTAGATGCTAGTCTGAAGACTGAACTTACAATGAGAGAGTTTATCTCCTCCAAGAACCCAGTCTGATGGGAAAGATAAGGGTTTCAGATAATAACACAGGAAATTACTAATCCACGGCATGGAAAGAACCAATCAGTTTGTTGGGTCAAGGAAGGCTTGTTTAAAGGAGTTCTTTCTTAGTTAAAGGGTGAGTAGGCATTAGTTAGTGTTAGAGGTAGGAGCTACATGCAAACACCTTGGGGGAGGAAGCAGAGGCATTGGAGGAAACAAGCCAGTGTGGCTAGAATAGGAGGAGTAAGAAGGAAAACCCTTAAGTTCAGAGAAGAAATAAGGCTTGTGGTCGAGAACACAGGCTCCTGAGGTAGGGGAGTCAGAGACACAGTCTAGGTCATAGCAGTGCCCACAAATCTACTTCTCATCTGGCGTCTGTGACACTATACTAAGAATAGAAGACTTTGGTAGATTGAATCATGTTTGCTAAAGAACACTGATTAATTTATGCAGTCTGAAGAAGGCTCTCTAGGGACATGCTACAAAATTAAAACTTGAACTTAAAGGCTCCCATCTGTGGTGAAAATTGCTAAGTGGGTGACAAGAATCATAAATCCAAAAGACTCAGACAGAGTGGGAGGATCAATTAAAACCAACAAGATATCTCCTGAGAGACGTTATGTACTGATTTCTGATGCCATCAGCCTGTGCAGTGCTGTGCTCAGTAAAGTCCTAGAAGAACCCTACCAGATTCACCTACTTCTTCCCTAACTTCAAAACAACACTCTACAATTACTCCAAGTTTCTGAGCCTTAGAAGTCATAAATGATGCATGGTCAGAACACCTACTGGGCTCTTATTCTTCAGAGATGTTAAAAATGTATAATCCTTAAGATAATGAACCCTATTACAGAGACGCTGAGAAATCCCTGAATCTCCAGAGGCCCACTCAATGAGGCAGGCTTGGTTGTGCCAGGGAACTGTGTGCATTATCAGGGAGAGGCCTGCTAACCTATGAGCAAAAGACTTCCAGGTAAACAACCCATGGTGCTCAGTCTTATGGACGAAAATTAATAGTGTGCAATTTAACCTGGTCTCCTGGAGATCGAGGAAATGAAGGAAGTTCTGAGCTATCAGCAGAGGAATAACAATATATAAGCCTTTAGTTTCTTAGAAAAACATATGCACATGTATTTACTTATATGGACTTGTATATATGCCTTTCTGCTTTTGGTAAGATGAAGAACAGCTTTACACTCGTCCAGGACAGGGAAGCTTGACTTAGCAGGGGGTCATGTAGGAAGGACAAAGAGTAGTGAATTGACCTTGAACTCAACATGAATCAGCACTGTGCTGATGTCACTGAAAAAAGCAAACACAGTGCCTGACCGTGGGAAAGAACAGTCCTGCTGTTTCTAGGCCATTCTATTGTGTCCTCATGCCTTCTTCCTGGGTATTTTGTTCATAATAGCATTAATAACCCAAATGGCCTTCCAGCTAGGGCATAATCCCAGACTCCTGACACTCCCTATGCCCTTCAGTGGCTGGTTTCCCTATAGAACCAAGAATGTCAAGCTGCTGACTCTGTGGACAGCGTATACAGATCTGGATGGTTCTTTTTTCCCCCGTTAACCTTGACAAACTTTTCTAAAAAATGCAACTAAAATTATTCCTTCATATATTTGTTCATGCAACCAGCATTGCTGAGTTCCTCTCTAGGTTCTAGAACTATAAGGAAAAGAAATAATCTTTATCCTCCAGGCGTGTTCTGTGAAATAAGGGAGGGCACGGCCTCTGTACAACATGCTCACTGCCAAAAAGCATCATGGGCTGTGTGCTAAGAGATCTCTGGCAAAAGTAAGAGGCACAGGGAAGCCTGGACACACTGGAGTCATGTCTCCTTTATGGCAAAGTGGGTCCTCTTCAACAAGGATAGAGTGGAACATTCTTAGGCCTTGAAGCCTACTCTGTTCAACTGGGGTTTGCTTAGCTTGCTGTCTGTCCTTTTTAGCTTAATCGAAGATCACGGAGATTCCCATCCATATCTCCTTGCTGGGCTCCTGGGTCTTATATAATTACTTTCTTTGTCTAGAGTTTTAAAGAAATGTTCTTATACTTTCTTCTTATACTTTCTCCCACTATAGCTTCCCCTTGATCCTAAACATGTATGCTCATTAACATATTTATGGATATCATTGTCTTCAGCATGAACAATCACAATCCCTATCTGAATCATTAAACATAAACGACTGCATAACATACTTTCCAGTGACCTTTGAAAGAAGATTCCCAATTGTGATATTGGTTCAGTTTGATTAGATTCATAAAATTATGATATATCATAAAAACAATTATATTCTAAAGATGATTGCCTATCTTTTGAGATTAGGAAATTGTTCTTAGTAGGCCCCAAGGCCTAAGATTTTTGAAACAGTGAGATGTGAGACAACAGAAAGAGAAGAAGGGTAGTTAACTGTGGGGTGTATCTACCCTTGCCCACCCTGCTCACCCTGCCCACCACCAACCAATCTACCTGGAAACACTTGCATTGACAAATGGAGGCAATGTGCTGATTTTTGAGTATTGGTCTAACACTATATATTTGTTTATTTGTGTTTTAGATCTCCTACAGATATCTTATCATCGCTCTTGGAATCCAGCTGGACTATGAAAAGGTACAGTCTTTAGTTGTTGTTTGTTGTACCCTCCAATTTATGCTAAGACAAAGCTAAGATACAATATTCTTTCCTTACATTCATTAGCAACTGGGAAATGATAGAGAAATGGTTCTAAGATACTCACCCACCTCCCAAGTCTAGCTTATTTCTCAGAGTCTTTTCTTTATGATTCGAAAAAAGTCTTCTCTAAGATTCTGCCAATGATAACAATGTGTTTTAGCTTTAAAGTTTAAGTACAGTTCAGTATGTCTGTGCCCTAATCATGTTTCTTGCAGAAACGAGCTCTTTCTGTACTTACAGGAAGCCAGCCTTGTTATGTAGGGCTGAGCTGGACACATAAAAGAATTGGCTTTCCTTTGCAAATCAGATCTACCTTGTGAATTCTTAAGCAGACTGTAACAGGAGAACATAGCTATTAATTCATCAGACTCTGGAAGCATGTTTAGGTTTTATTGTGTAGAGACTTGAGTGTCTTGGGTAGGAAGTGACTAACATGGTATAAATGATACCTAGAAGTTTCTTAGATGTGTTTTCAGCAGGCAAAGGATCTACAAGTTCCCTGAGAACTGCGAGAATCAAGGTGATTTTCTGAAAACACTTTAGAGCAACTCATTTGTTTTCGTGATTCCCAGGAGCACTTTGGGGACTGTAGGCAAATAGTCACAGCACACAAAGCCTGGTGCTGACACAGGCTGCAGATCTGTGATCCCAGCTTGTAGAGGTGGCTCATGGAAGAAGGTCTTTCGGGTGTGTTTATATATGAAGAATTATGACACGCCTTGGGTGTGGGGAAGGTAGTGGAGGTGTGTTGGGATATGTTATATGAAGGTTCTCTAGAGGCTTCTCTGCCTTATAAGGAGGGAGGAAAAAGTTAGGATTGAGAGTTTTGTAGTGCCCTCTTGTAGTGAGCTAAGAAACAAGTCTTTTTTTTTTTTAACAAATATTGAAATAGCAGAAATATTACATTTTGGATACTTGATGCATATAGGAAACAGACTCTGTTATACAGTGTATATAAGTATACATAATTCTAATATAGAGCTACTTTATCTTCACGCTCAGTTTTTAAAGGCAGCCATTACTATGGAATCATCACTAGATATTAGCAATGAGTTCTAGTTATATCTGTGCTACTACTCATGTGCGTTCTTGTTCTGGACTGCTCCAAATTTACCCTTTAGCAACTGTACATCTATCTACTCCCTAGTCAGCATTTATAAATCGTGTATAAAATGATGTATGTAGTTGTAAGTGACCTCTAAGTTTCTTGCATTCCTCTGGCTGTATTTAAGTCTAAAAAAATAAAGAGTATGAAAGTATGCATAAATATATTAATGAGAAAAAAAGATGCAGAGGATTGATCCTTTACAGCTTCTGGTGAGGAAGGTCTTTTTCCTCCATCTCATAGAAGAAAAAACTGAGGCTGAGAGAATATAACTTAACTGTGGCTAGTGCACTACTGGGTACCCATTGGTTGAAAATTCTAGAAAATTTCCTAAGAGAGTGTAAAGCAAAAAAGAAGGCAGTTATCTGCAGATACAAGATCCCTGTGGAGCCCTAGGCAGGAATGTAATGACTTTTGTCAGGCTGGCTCTCCACTCTGTCTGTTGGATGTATGGTGTTCTCATGCTTGACGCAGGCCATCTGTCCCTGTTCTTTCTCATGCCAGCTTCACTGAGTGTCTTCAGCATGGTGTGCTTCTCACTGCCCTGTCTTGAAGGACAGACAGGATAGTCCTCAGCCCTCGTAGCACACAGTCTATCTCTGTACTCTCAAAGGGCAATTAATTTATTCTCTTCCCTGATGCTCATGTGTCTTCTCTCTGCTTCCATCTCTTTGCCCCTGAAAGCATCACTAGTTGATGTGGGAGCATAAAACACACCTCACCACCACACAGAACTTCCAGGAAGGGGTCTGGCTGCCAGGTTACAGCACCCTTTCTCTTAACAGTGGCTTTTAAGTACAAGGTAACTTACTCAGTTACAACACTGTTAAGTAGGAAAGGTGGGGCAGAACCCAGGACTTAAATATTCCAAAGTACATGCCCTCATTGCCTACTTTACTATCTCACCAAGAGTTTGATCTACACAACCCAAGAGGGTAGTTTCAGTCTTCTGTTATTGACATCATGGACAAACAGCTCTTGGTCGTTCCTGCCTCTCCTCAGAAAGGCAAGTGGTTCTCCTGAAGGGAGTTCTGGCAGGCATCCTGTCCTCATTGTGGAGGTGGGAAGAGCTGTAGCCCAATTGCAGCTTCTTGCCCAGGGAGGTGGTGGTGGTGGGGGGGTGGGTTCTTCAGGGTTGAGCCCATTCTGCAACTTGACAGGTGACTTCAGGGGCCACTTCTGTGGTCTGGTGGTCTGAGCCTCTCATTTGTCTGTCTGTTCTGTGTGTGAGTACAGGGGGAGCTGATGCTACTATCATGTCTGAATGGCTGTAAAAATGGAAAAGAACAAGGGCTCTAAAAAGCATTGGCATAGTTTTGTTTTTCTAAATATGTAAATTTGCTTTAATTTCTGATAAATGGTAAATTTATATGTATACCAAAAAAGAAATGTATTTACTTCTTTTTAATTTTGTGAATTTGCATGTATCATAATGGTTTTCATAAGGAGATCTTCATGTGTTTTTGATATCCTGACCTATATAAGTAGGTTCCTTCCTTCCCTTAAATATTTCTTCCTTAGGTTTTCATGTCTGGTAGACTACATTATTTCCCTTTCCTTCCTTTCCCTCTCTTATGGCCTCTTCCTTTCCTTTTATAGTTAATTTTCTACTTCCTTGATGTATATGTGCGAGCGCGCGCACACACACGGGCGCGTGCACACACACACACACAAGTTTAAGTCTATAATAGGCGTATAAGAAAAATATGTTATTTGCTCTTCTGAGATTGATGTATTTTGCTTACTACAATGATCTACATTATATTAATTTTCTATAAATGTCATGATTTAATTCTTCATGGCTGAGTAAAATTTTATTATCTACCTGTCTCATACTTTTTTATCTGTCTTTTTAAAAAACAAATTTCCTTGTGTTTGGTTGCAGATTAAAGGGCTACCTGAAGGCTTTGCTTATCCCAAAATAGGGTCCAATTACTCAGTGAAGACAGTGGAGAAGACATGGAAGGCCCTGCAGGACTTCAAGGAAGGCAATGCCCTGTTCACCTTCCCGAACACTCCGGTGAAGTGTGCTGGTGCCCCCCAAAAGATCATGTACCTGTCGGAAGCCTACTTCAGGAAGGTGCGGCTCCTCTTCAGGACAGATTTGACAAGGGCAGGTGCCACCAATCGAGCACCTGCTGCAAGTCCACTTTGATCTCTGACATGTGACCTTTCTGTTTCTCAAAGTTTTGTTCCATTTGAACACAGTTACATAGCTGGATGTGGAGACCACTCACCATGCACATTCTCTCTCACGAAGTTCTCACAAGTTAGAAGAGGTTTTTCTACAGACTTAAAAAATATGGTGACAATAACACTGTACATATAAATGAAATATTCCATTTAAAACTGTGTAAAAGCCCATTGGCAAACTATGTTAGTAATTGTCTAAATACTTTAATATTTGTAGTTAGGCAATTAATTGTAAATTACACACACATATGTATATTACATATATAAATTACACATCCGCATATGTATATGTGCATGTATATGTATATACATGTATATATATACATGTATATAGTGACTGTCAATTGCTTTCACTCAGGCTCAAGGTTATGAGTATTTTCTGGCTCTTGATACATGTATTTGCAAATAGGCAAAATGCAAATTTTAAAGGTAAAAAATGTTCATATGGAATTTCAGAGCTTCTGTAATGAGGTTTTGTTTTTGTAATGAGGGTCGGGGGAGGTTTGCCCAAACACATGTGTGAGAGCAGATGGTTGCCTGTGGCACATACCTGGAGTCAGGTAGTGGGGGCTGTTTCTGCCCTCCCTACGCTTTGTGGGTCTTGTGAGGTGTTGTCGAGTTAAGAGATAGCTCCAGTGACTGCTTCTGATGATGAGTAAGTTCCTTCCAGATCATAGGGGTTGGTACAAGCTTTTGAGGTTCTAACAGCTCTACTTGTGAGAAAATCTCTACAGAAGGTTTTAATTCTGGTCTGGATGAAAAAAAGAAATGAGAAACAAAATGATGGCTGGAGTAATTGTCTGGCTTTCCTCTTTGCTTTTTCTTAGACTGGAAAGCGACCCAAGGCTAATATCATCTTCAACACAGCTCTTGGAACAATATTTGGAGTTAAGAAATACGCAGATGCCTTGCAGGAGATCATTCGGGAGAGGAACGTCTCCGTCAACTATAAGCACAACCTTATTGAGGTCCGAGCTGACAAACAGGAGGCAGTTTTTGAGATCCTGGACAAGCCTGGGGAGACTCACGTGATTCAAGTGAGTGGCAGGTTCAGCTGGCTGCCTGGAGCTTTATCTGCTGCTCTGAGCAGCAGCTTCAGGAGACAGGAGGGCACCTCCCCCTGGACCATCATTGCTACTTGCTGGAGAAGGCTGCTGCTGATAGAGCAGGAAAGAGAACTGAAGAGGGCAAGATGGGAGAGACTGTGTCAGCAGGGAGCGCGGAGGGCTGATCTGAGGTGCTATGTGATGTTTTTTTTTTGTCTTATTCTTTAAGTCCTCTTTAACTCCTCCCTGACACTCAAACTACTTCACTTCATTTTATTGCCTGGAGAGTTTAGGGAGTGCTTCTTCAAATGCCCTGTGAATGTCTAAACCTTTGGCGTGTGAGACACAGCCCTGCTTGTGAACTGGAAGGGAGCTGTGGGCTGCTCACGACAAACAGGAGTGTTTGTTTTTCATTCGTGGATGAAGCTGTCTTTGCACATCTTTTAACTGTGCAAACACCCAACTCTTAACTTCCTTCTTAAGGGACTTAGCAGAGCCACCACACCGCCTTCCTTGGAAAGATTTCAGCCTGTGCTGTGGGCTCTGGGTCTTGGGCATCTGTAGTGGGAACACTACATTTATGGAAGAATTATGGAGATAAGCACAAGATGCAATGGTGTTGGAGAATATTTGTTCATACCATTTTGGTAGGAACTATCAGCAGTCAGAACGCATGGCCGGCTCACATTGTATTCTGTATTTAATGACGATGAGTTCCATAAAAAGGAATTTTGAATGAACCGAAGATTAGTCTTCTAAACATCAAAAAATTAAATAATAACCCTTTCAGCTTAAGCTCTTTCTAAAACTCATTGCATCCATTTTTTGTTCTTAAACAGAATATATTAAATATCATTAAAATGTTACTGATGGCTCAGGGGGATACTTTAAAAGTCTTTTATTTGAAAATATCCTCAAACTTAGAGAAGTTATAAAAACAAAAATAGCAGAAATAAAATCGTGCATGTTTTTAGCTAGATTCATGTACAGAATCGTACAGTAGTTACTTTAGCTTTACTATTTGATTTCCCCTCAATCTTGATTTCTGTTAATTTCCCTAGATACAGGTGATAATTACCATGTATTATTCTTCTTATCTCTAGATAATTTTTCTAGATAAACTTCCTAAGATAAGAGTACTTTCTTATGTAAGCACAATAGTTAGATTGCTAGTTACTATGTGCCTACTAAATTTGGCACATATATGATATTTTTATCTACTATATGTATGCAATTTTGTTGACCGACCCAATAGCTCTACAACACTCTTCCATGTCTAGTACAGTTAGTCTGGTGTTTTTTTAACCTCCTTCAATCTGGGGCTTTTCCACAACTTTCCTTTTTCTTCTATGACTATGACATTTTGGAACAACTAGTCTTCCTATCTGCACTTTCTCAGAAATGGAATCTTCCTCATTTCTGGTGATGAGTTTTCCTTATGAGCATTTCATAAGTAACCAGTAGACCAAGGAGTTCATTATAAGCATACAGGAGGTCTGTTCTGGTCTCTAGTCCAGATAAGGGTTAGTTTCTGCACTGAATTACTATCCTTTCTCCTTATATTTTGAGAGGCATCTTTCCAGTTAAGCATAGACTCTATCCTTTAAAGTATCACCCAGACTTAGTACCCACTGAAGGTACTTATCTGATTTGCTTTCAGTGTGATGATTACAAAATGATTTTTTTTTGACTCTAGAATTTCATCTACACTTAGCAGGAAGCACTTGGCATTTTATCAGCACGTTCCTTTTCTTTTGTGATTATCAACTAATTACTGGTATGAGCTCATGGCGGCTCATCTCCTCTAATATCTTGTCACTCATTAATGCTCTTAGAGTTATTTTTATTGTCCCAAATTTGATCAGAAGCTTCAAACTGGTTTCGGAGTCCTTGTGACACAGCTCTTTTTTCTTTTCCGTAGCACTTCCATGATGCCCCATCTGGTTCTGTCTTCCCCAGATCAGGGTCCTCACGGTGAACAGTTCTCATACAGCTGTGGCCAAAGAGCCCAGTGGAGTTTTCATATGGACACCGGTTATCATTTTACACAACTTGTTAATGTTGGTTTTTGCTCTCCCACTTTCCAGCCTGTCACAGTTGTGAGGTTTGGAAGGTCCTTCCTCCTCTAGATTTTTAAACTTGCTGCTCCTGATTTTTTTCCTGGAAAACAAGTGAGCCAAAATTGTGAATTTTATGCAAAGTAGAAGTGAATGGGCTGTGAGGGGCTGACTGTCCAAAGCAGACTTCTCTGAGAAAGTGTGAGCTTGAGCAAAGGCACTTAATTTTGCAGTGTTTTAAAAATGTGGTTTCTGGCTGAGCTCTGGGGAGTCGAGGCTACAGGTAGGGACCTGGATGAATGAGAGGATATTTCCTTTGCCAAGTTTGTAAAGGAGGAAGGTATTTTGTGTCACCTTTGAGTGATAAGATTTCAGCTTAGATATTTCAATTAAGCTCTTAGACTACGAATACCAAAAAGCCCACTGAAGACTTGCAAGTAACTGCTATCAGGGCTAGAATCGCCCAGGGAGCTTTGGAAATGTGCTGATTTCTGGGTATCCGTAACATACATTTTGATTAATTGGCTTGGAGTGTGGACTGAGGAACACTGAATTTCAAAAATTACCCTAATGACTCTCATGTTCAATTGAGACTGGGAACAGCCATTATATACCCTAAAGCCCAGTGGTTTTGTATACTTTATTATAACTGGTCCAGGCTTCTTCATGCTCATTAACAAACAGACCTGCTGTCAGGGATTCACACCCTCAAAAGGCCCCTTAAAGAATATGATGTTCAAGAGCACTAAGCATTTGCAAACTTTTCCTGAGGTTAAATAACCTCAAAGCTAAGAGTTTGAATAAATGCAATCCAGCTTTTTGATTTCCGGCCTCTCAGTGATTGCTGAGTCCCACAGGACACTAGAGGCTGTTGACATCTCCTTTATAGAGAGATTTACACAAGGTTGAGATGGCCTTAGCATATAAGCATTTTCACCCTAGTGAAACATGAACAATTGAGTAAATGTGTCTTGAAGTAGACCTGACAAGACATTGAAGTTGCTACATGGGATTGTAAAATAAAATGAATAAAAGGCTCTACCTACAAAAACAGGAAGAAAATTACACAACTCAAACCTTGAGTGAATGGATGAGGCCTCAGCAGGGAGCATCTGGGACAGCCATACACCGAATGCTAGACAAGATCCCTCTTTACTTCTCCAGGATGTTAGAGAATTTTATCCCTCAGTTTGTCCTCTCATAATGGTAACTTGGAACGTTTCTTTTTGTATTTTTAGAGTTGAGTCCTTTGGAGGGGTGATGTTTTAACATCATCTTTACCAGTTTCAAGGCTCTAAACATCTCTTTACAGAATACAACTGAAGAACCAAACCCAGTCAACACTAAGTTGACAGTTGAGGGTCAAAGAGTTATAAACAGTATTTGCCACTCCTTGATCTTTTGCAAGAATGGTAGCATCAATGGCGTATTTCAGATCATTAGTGAATTATACATCAGAATACTGGGTTCCTCACCTCTCCTACTGAAGGTATTTGGGCTCAGTATAGTCAGATCATAGCAACCCGTGAGGACAGATGTTTAGTTTCTCATTATCCTCCACCATAGCCCCTAAGGTCTTGGAGAACGTATGGATTGATACATTCACTAATTCATAATTCTCCCTGCGGCCATTATGAGACTCAAAATGAGGAAGACAGAAGAGAGGCTTGTGGGCTGCAGATACACTGAAAAGATGCAAATGTGGATGCTCTTGTTTTGTGTAGTATGAAATGCTTCATGTCACACCACCTATGAGTTCACCAGATGTCCTCAAGAAGAGTCCTGTGGCTGACTCTGCTGGCTGGGTGGACGTGGATAAAGAGACTCTGCAGCATAAGAAGTACCCAAACGTGTTTGGAATTGGGGACTGCACCAACCTCCCAACTTCAAAGACTGCTGCTGCAGTAGGTAGGTTACCAGCTCTGATTCTCCTCAAAGTTCCAGAAAAACCAGAAAAAAAGAAGTTTATCATAGACTTTCATAATTCAATGATTTTAATACTATTCTATTTATGATGAATAAAATCTTTTGTGATCTAAAAATGACTTTGGCTTCCCCAAGACAGGCAGAATCAAGTCCTCAATGAACCTGGAGTTTTATGGAGAAGAAAATAGCTTTTAAAGGCTTTACCAAAATACCAATAGAGTGTCTCCTTACCTGTCACAGAGACTGTTTTCAGTGCAATAAAGGGGCTGACCTCTCCCAGCTCTCTAAGTAGTAAGTTTTGTGATTGCCATGCTTATATCTCTGGTACACTTGGTCCTTGATATCAGGCAGCTTGGCTATTTTTCTTCTGCCTAAAACACTGTGGAGCTAGGGAGGCATTTGTTTCTCTAGAAAACACATGCAAGTCAATGAAAGCTTGCAGACCAGAAAATTGTTCTGTATAGACAAGCACAGTGGAGCATACCCTGATTGGTGGTACATGATTAAGGCCTCAGCCTGGAAAACTAAATTCTTTACCTAGATGTTCTGCACTAGCAGTGATGGGGAGAATTGCCTTTTAGATTCTGTCCTCTACAGACAGGAGCTGTCTCCTGTGGATGTCATAAAACATGGACCTTTCTGCTGATGGCCAGATAGCATTTTATATGAATTTGGATACCTTTTTAATGAGATCTACCAAATGTCTTTTTCATTATTAATGATATTTATCTCCTGTCTCTTTAATTTCAAAAATCTCAACTGATGAAAAATTTGAAAAAAATACTTATTTGATTTACTACTCTTTATACTTTTACATGTTTTTAATGAGTCATTTGAAAGTAGTTGAGGCATCATGAGACATCTTTGCCTTAAGTAACTTAACATGCCTCTTCTAGAAAGTACACATTCCTCCATATTTACAGAACCCTTATTATGACCTAGAAACTTAACGCCGTGTAGTAAAACTGTTTCACATGCAGTCCAACTCATATTTTCTAAAATCATTCTTGTAGCTGTGAGATTAGTTTGCTTTGTATTTGGCAATCCTGGGGTTCATTACTTGGTTAAGGTGGGTTATGCCTGCTGCATTTATGTAATTACATTTATTTATTTATTTGTTTATGGGCATGAGCTCATGGAGGTTAGAGGACAGCTGGGAGTTGGTTCTTTCAGTCCATCCTGTGGGTCCCGGGAATTAAATTTAATTCCTCATTCTTGGGGGCAAGCACCTTTGCCTGCTTAGCCTGTTTTCTCTTGGTAACTAATGGATAGCATGTGAGACAGTACCTTTAATTTATATCCAAATTAGATGAATTTCTGTGGTAGAAAGACCTAATATGGGATGTCAGATTGCCTGGCTTTTAGCTTATGCCAGACAAAGAAATATTAATCCAATGCTTCAGATACAGTTTTAAGTATGACTGAACAAAACTTATCAAGTGAAGCCTTCCTTCCGGCTCTGCCGTCTGGCCGGTGTCTACATTCCTCAGCCATGTAAACAGCGTCTCCACTGTTCTCACATTTGCCTTTTTACAAACCATGTCTTATTACATGATTGCTTCAAAACTTACTAGAAGGTCTTACTTGTTTTTGAGTTGTTTTCTCCCACTTTCTTCCACAGCACTGCAGTGAATGCTCCATTGTGTCACTTCACATGGATATTTGCTTGTGCTGCTAGTGTCTAAGTAATAGTGACTCCAGCATTCCCCAAGCATTTCTCACTAGCCTCCCTACCCCAAGCTCTCTGAATCTCCCATGCAGTACCTGCACATATCCATCCCTCCTTGGCTCTGCTTGCCTCCCAGCCTCTGTCCAGATCACTGTGAGCAAGGCCATGTCTTAACATTCTGAATAATGCTTCCCGTGGCTTAGACCTCTTTCCTTGCTTCTCTGTCAAGAGACTCTTGGGCAAAACAGGATATTGTAATAGAGAGAAGGAACCCAGTTAGGGTGTGGCCACACCCACATACTCTTCCTACCTTGCTGTTGGGTGTGACTGCTTCCAGGTCCAGTTTCTCTGCAGTGGCATCTAGAGACAGCTTTTCTCCTTTGACATTGAGGTTGGCACCCTGCACCAGGGGCCTCCTCATATATTCTCAGTGCAGTTTCCAAACTCTCTATGTTCTCTGTGATATCTAATTCCCCAAAGCGGGGCAGGATCTTTGGAGATATTACTTTGTCATCAGTGAGGACAGCCATTCAGTCATTTTATTCAATTCTCCTGTTCACTTCTAGAGCCAATGAAATCATCATTTTTATTTGAGTGCCAGTAAACTATAGTTTCCAGGCAAAATAAGTCTGTGGACTGTTCTTGAACAACTGGTTGAGAACAGCATCTGCAGGGGAACCTTTGTTCAGTTCAGTGGTGGTTCCCCACGGGTTTGCTCAATCCCCAAAATATTCCATTGTTCTACTAATGACAATGAGTTACCCACATCATAAATATTCCTTGAATTGTACCAATAAGGCTTTTGTGGAATGTTTTTTTCTCTACTCTTGCCATACACACACACACACACACACACACACACACACACACACACACAAATATAACTATAAAGACCCTGTCTATCTATCTATCTATCTATCTATCTATCTATCTATCTATCTATCTATCTATCTATCTGGTTTGGCCTCAGTCAGACAATACTATAGAAAGAAAAGCCCAGTAATTTGCCTTAGTGGGTATGACAGGGGGTATTAATCTAGGCTGTCTATGAGTGGGGATACAAGGTGCCATACATCATGGCACCCAGACTAAACCAGGAGTGGGAGGAATGGGATTTGGGTAGGGCCACCCTTATCATCCTGTGGGAGAGTAGGAGAGAGCTGGGTTCTTAATTTCAAAGTAAGAGCAACAGCTATGTGGTCTTTGATGAGTTGAGGACTCCTTCTGATAGAACTTCCAGTAAAAGGAAAAGTCATGATCTACTCACAATCTAGAGGAGTGTGGATGGAATCACCATTATCTTGTTTATATTCATGTTATATGCAAATGAGTTTTCTTGGAAAACCTGATGCTCAAACTTTCTATTCTCTTTTAGCTGCCCAGTCCGGAATCCTTGATAAAACAATTTCTCTGATTATGAAGAATCAAACACCCACAAAAAAGGTTTGTATACCTATAGGAGTTATTGCCTAGTTTATCACCTCCCCTTCTATATGAAGATACTATTCCTCCATAATTCTGGTACTTTCTTATAGCTTATACTGTATGCAGAATTTAATTTGTCTGTAGTATTATTATATAATTTTCATTTTTCATAGTCCCAAAAATTCAGAAACTAGGACATGGACACATACACACACACACACCCCAATTTCAGTCACTCAGCAAATAATAAATTATGAAATTCCATGACAGAAAGTACTTTTTTGTTTCTTCTCACAATGTCAGTATGATGGCTATACCTCTTGCCCACTGGTGACCGGCTACAACCGTGTGATTCTTGCTGAGTTTGACTACACAGCTCAGCCCCTGGAAACCTTCCCCTTCGATCAGAGCAAAGAGCGAATTTCTATGTACCTCATGAAGGCTGACATGATGCCGTTCCTGTATTGGAATATGATGCTGAGGTGGGTGTCTCATCTGGTGCCTGTGCAGAGGGCACCAACTTGTTTGGGGGTGGGCTGCTTCAGAGGGTCCTTCTAGCTTCCACTCAAAGCAGGACTTGCTAATGAGACCTGCTCTACTGCACCATTTCTTAAGAATTAATGGTAGCCCTTGAAGAACTCCTGAGCCTCAGCCATACTTGTGAGAGGGCTGTCTTAGGTAAGGGGAAGGTTTGCAATATCTCCATCTTGTGGTGGGGTGCTGACTCTTCTCTTTATTCTTGGGAGGAACCAAGTCTTCTGTTTTCCATTCTCCATTTCTTTATTTTTTTTTGTTCCCAGATGAATTAGATAAATAATAATAATAGTAACAATAATACTATGATAAAAATTCTTTTACATGCCAAATACTTTCTCATCTGCTACCTTCCTTTGGTTTTGCTATGTTTGAGAAGAATTAAAAGTAATTAAGAGAACAGAGATAGACTCAAGCTCTGACCTAATTTTGAATAATGTTTCTATCATTTAGTAGCTGAGCAAGTTGATTAGACTATGTTTAGTTTATTATTCAAAAATTGAAAATAACATTAAGGAGATAATACAGAGGTATTATCAGGTATTCAATAAGTAGACTACCACACATTAATAACTCGTTTATGTTTAAAAAATGTAGTTTGACTTTTCCAGACACATATGAGATTGGTAAGTTAGGATATCCACACCAGTGATCCTTAATCCAGGATGATATGGGGGACATTTGGCAATATTTGGAGACATTTTTGGCTGTTATCACTGGAAGGATGCTGTTGATATCTAGTGAGCAGAGGTGTGGGATACTGCAATGCACAGGGCATCCCCATGATAAGGAACTGCTGGGTCCTAACTGTCAGTAAGGTTGAGAGACTCTACCCTCCTTTGATGTCCTGAGAAGGCAGCAGCTTTGTGGGTGTATGCTGAGTTTAGTCAGCATGCTGGGCTCACACAGCCAGTTCAGTGTCAAAGCTAGGATTCATCGTAGGTTGTTCCAGTCATGAGATCCTTTCCACCTCAGTAGAAATGTCTTGCCTTATGTGCTGATAGGCATCTCTAGTGACTTCTTATAACATGATGTCACCTCATCTCCTTTGTCCCCGTGGTCTCTCTGTGTTATTCTTACAGAGGCTACTGGGGAGGCCCAGCCTTCTTGCGAAAGCTATTTCATCTGAGCATGAATTAAAGATGACTCAGAACTTGCTCTTCTTGGATGGCTTCTGGACTAAAATCGCAGTTACTGATTGACATGACAGATTCGAAGGACTCAGAATTTCACCCTTTAAGGAGTTTCTTACTGGACATGGTGACCTTTTTAGACCTCTGAATAGCTATCATGTGGACAACCCAGAATGAGTCTTTGGAAACATCCAAATCCAACAATAAAACTCTATTTTATAACTAAAACTTTGTCATTGATTTACTTATTTGAGGAAATATCTTGACTAGCAGTGAGTGATGGAAAGTTGTAGCACTTGGGAGAAGAAGCTGGTGTTGGGGTGATAGCTTTCTTGTTGTCTACTGATGTGTTCAACTTACAGCTGGCACTACTTTCTAGAGACCGAGTCACTGAACAGAACAGTCCAATGACATTACATCAAAGACTGTGTTGCAGACCTACAGATGGCTGCTTAGAACTCCTGCTGCAGCATGGAGATTCTAGAGTCCAGTTGCCTCCCCTTGGGTTCCTTGACACTGAGCTGAGCCTGTGCTTTTCCAGACAGTGACAAGCACTATGGGTTACTAATCTCTTCCAGTTCCAGGTCCTCTGATGGGCAGTTTTGACTGAACCTAAGATTTTACTTTTCTCTATATTCCATCAGGGATCCCACTCTTGTCATAGTCTGAAGTTCTGCCCTACCTACTACACCTTCAGTCTCCTCTATCCTACAGGGCATTTTCTCTACTAAATTTCTTGTTAACCTAACTGTATCATGGCACCTGAGTTTCCCAGAGAACTTACACAAACACAGTGATGTTGGATCTGAAGAATTCCAGTGGCTAAGGGGAGTATTGTCTCAAGTCATCCCCAGTTTGGCCAATAAAGTGCTGAGTGAGTCTGGACTGGAAACAGCTCTAGTTTGTTTGAAGCTCAATAGTAGTGCCAAAATAATTTACTCCCAGTTAGTTGATTGCAGAAGTTCAGTTTCAGGCAGTCTAGAAATTTAAAGGCATTCATATTTCATATTCATAAATGACTTTGATTTTGTAACATTTTAGAATTCAAACCCTTTAATGTGTTACCAAGTCTCTCTGGGTTCCTGGAATTCTCCTTATGACTCTAGAAACCCCATTCAGACATATATTCGTTCAACAACTATTTACCAGACACCCACTAACTGCTATTTTCAGCCTGGGGGATGCAGTAAGGAACTAGAATAGGGACTCTGTTCCTGGCCTTGTTTTTTTTTTTTTTTTTTTTTTTTTTGTGGTCCTTGTGTAGCTTCTTTCCTGGGGTGCCAGGGAGCTTGCTGAGTGGGACATGACTTGATTTGGGAGGACACTTTCCTTTCAGTTCTGGGAGAGAGTTGAGTACCACCCCAGCAGGAGGGACCATGCTGAGGGAAGTGGAAGACTTCAGTTGGCCATGCATCAGAGACTTATTTGCTTACCACCTGTTCCTGCCCAGGTATCAGTGCAGTCCTTTTGGTTTCTAGGATGCCCCTGTTTGGACACTAGCCTGTGACTACTCCCTCATCCTGCTCCCAGGATGACAAAGCCATGCTACACATGGTGCTCATACTGGGCTGGCCACTCACCTTCAGGTGGTACACACAGAACAATTAACTGAAGTCAGAGGAGCCCCATGCCCTCCTGGAGTTCCTGCAGCCTGCCTCTGCACTCCTACAGGATTGTGAGTTCATTCTATGTGATCTATCTCTACAGGCTCCAGGAAGACCTGGGAATTATCCAGAAGGAATTGGCTCCCTGGGCGTGGAAAGAAATGCTAGAAAGAATTGGGCAGCTGAGCCTCTTGGTGGAGGAAATTTGAAATCCTTTGCAGACTTAACACAGCCTGCTGGGTCTGCTTATATTAGTGCATTCTGAATAAAACCTCCAGGCAGACAACTGCTTCAGAGACCGTGTATAGGAACGTGACTTATTGCCATTGCCTTGGGAGCAGTGAACCTACTGGTCTGACATTGGTCTCCAGATCTCAGTTTCTCCAGCTGGAGAAGATAACAAGTATACTCAATTCTAGAAACATTTAGCCTTTGAAATCTTTTCAGTTTATTCACTAGTGTGGGGCTGGTCAAAGGAGAGGGTATTTTTGGAGTTATCTTTGGATCAGGAGTAGGGTGCAGGAAGAGGAGCTTGAGGCTTGGCATGGGATGGGGTGCAGATTTCTCTCAGGGCAGTGTCTTTGGGCAGGACTGAGTCACAGGTTCTGCTGGGAGACATATGCCTCAGATACACTCCCTCAGAATCCAGAAGTGACAGGCCGGGACTGTGAAACTGGAGAGTCCTTTGTGCCTACAGTTACCTTTACCTTCAGAGGTTCCTCCTTCTGATTTCCTAGAACGGATGGTTATGACCCACGATGTGGATGCTGGGAATAGATCCCGGATCCTGCCCGCCCTGGTGTGGAAAGTGATGCATCTAGGTCACAGTTTAGGAAGCCCTGGGATAGAGGGCTGGGCTTAAGTCTGCTAGAGACTGCCAAGGTTTGAGATTTAGCTGTTTTCTTTTGTATAATGTATGAGAAAGTTTTTTTTCTATTTAAATTTTGTAGAAAACGCAGAGAACAGAAACAAAAGTGATCATTTATCCAACATCAAGTAATGACAGCAAACAGCAAGTAGGTGTCTCTTTTTCAGCTTAATATTACAATGTTCAGACTGTACAGGTTATATTTAAAAATATAACATTTGTGCATGCAATAGCAACTAGTGAAAAAAGAGGCCATGAGTTTGAAGGAGAGCAAGCAGGGAGGGGTACATGGGAGGCTCTGGAGGGAGCAGAGGGAAGGGAGAAATGATGTAATTAAATTATAATCTTAAAATAAATTTCAAAACAAATTATTCCTCTTTTTGAGGAAAGTGGCTTTTGTAATGCAATATGTAAAAGCAGTTCATGTTATTAAAAATGTATTGGAGAGCTCTGATCTGATTTAATTATTTTTTTTTCCTGTAGTTCTGGGAATTGAAACCAGGGCCTTGTACATGTCAAGTAAACACTCTACCACAGTAAGCTACATCCCCAGCTCCCTGATCTGATTTTCTCCTTCATGCCTTAAAACCATAGGGCTTTCATCCAATATAGACTTACTTTGATTATCTCAGGGAAGGAAGAAACAAGAAAAATGTTTGGGTAAGATGAGGCACTCTGATTAGGTTAATAAAAAATTAGATCTGTCTTGTTTGCTTAACTGCCAAGTAGCTAAGGGAGGTACTTGTCCACCTGATGGGAGAATTTAAGGTCAGTACCGTGTAGTAGAAATACCCTGCAAGGTTGAGAAAAGGGGAGAGGGAGATAATTTTCTATCCCAATATTGATTCTTTTTTTTGACATTTATTAACATGTTTCTGTGTGTGGAGATATGAATGCCATGGAACATACATGGAGGTCAGAGGACAACTTAGAGGAATCAGTTTTCTCTTTCTGCCACGTGGGGCCTGGTGATCACACTCAGGTGGGTAAGCATGGCAGCAAACACCTTTATCCACTGAGCCATCTTACCAGTGTATTCACTAAACTGTTCTTCTGACCTGTTTGCATATGCTGTGGCACACATGTGCACATGCTATGATACACACGCACACATGCACGAATGCTTGCTCCCGTGTGCAGTGTGTGCTCTTACTCTCTTTCCACCCTCTGCCCCAGGAACCCATCAAGTGTCATCTGAGTCAATGGTCTCTTCTGGTGCCTATTTTCTGGTTGGGTTTGACTGCTGGTGATGGTGAGAGAAGATGGCGGGATGAGAAAGGACCAGGAGTCAGTTGCTCCTTTTATCCTCTGATTCCACTCTTGTCTTGACCCCACAATGAGGTTAAAAATGAAAATTCAGACTATAAATTCATCCAATAGTTTAAAGAAATCAAGCTTATATGTACTGTATGGTTTTCAATCTCATTTTTCTAATCAACTTATTGTTGATTAGTGAACAGAAAACGCACAAACCTGATCTTTCAGCATCGATTGTTGGCCAAGGCCTGCTGTGGGTCCTGGTTCCTGCTCTCTGCCTTCTGATGGGCTGGCTACTATAAACTATGCATAATTGCAAACCACAAGTGACAACATTGAGCTCATGCCTGTGTCCCCTCCATTTGGCTTCTGCTGTGGTGCATTGGCCATCTTGAATTGTTCTAGTTAGACTCCTTGTCTGCCCCTTATTGGGACCCAACTGTCATTAGGAAAACCTAAAGCAAGGCAGTGATGCTGAGAAAAATGTATGGAGGGATGACCAGAGATTGTGGAACCACAATGACCATGCACTAGAGGGAAGCTGAGATGAAGTTGGAGAGAATGAGAGAGTGGGGGAGAGAGAGAAAGTAGGGGAGAGAGAGAGAGAGAGAGAGAGAGAGAGAGAGAGAGAGAGGATTTTAGAGAGTGGGGGAGAGAGATACAGAGAGACACACAGAGAGAGTCAGAGAGAGAGAGAGAGAGAGAGAGACAGAGACAGAGACACAGAGAGAATGGGAGAGAGAGTGGGAGAGAGGGAGACAGAGACAGAGACAGAGAGAGACAGAGAAACAGACACACAGAGACACACAGATACACACACAGACACACCTACACACAGACACACAGACACACAGACAAACACACACACACACACACACACACACGGGGGGGGGATAGTAAGGGCCCAACTAACTTACTAACTACAAGGTGACTAGGGCTTGAGCTAAGGTCATGTCACCAGACAAGCAGGGGTGTTCACAGCTCACACTTACTTGGGTTAGAAGTCTATCAGCAGGACTGTAGAAACCACTGTATGGTAAGAGTAAGCAGAAAACCTAAATACTGTGGCAGATGTGAAATTATAACCTGTGTGAGACACACAGCCTACTACCTATTTTTAAAAGTAAATAAAATTTTCTTGGAATATGGTTTCATGTGATGGTTACAGGTGTACTTATGCTGTAAAGGCAGAGCTGGGTAGTGATGAGAGAGCCCACTTGTGGTCTGAAAATCCTGAAATATGTACGGTCTAGCCCTGGAGAAGAAGTCCGAGGACTCCTGGCTCATAGAGAGCAAGTAATCAAGAACTCTAGAAACAAGAACCTGGAAAGATGTTGGTTTTCAGATGGTTGTGGAGCTTCAGAAATTGCCAGGGTTCTGACCCCGGTGGCCCTGGATGTTGACCACATCAAAATAAGCAACTGCAAGCCTGGGAGATGGTCTAAACCTTATAGTTTCTGGGCTGGTGTGGATGCCATTACAAACATTCTAAATGAATC